TCCAGTTGAGGTATTGGAATAGACCAAATCAGCAGGGTTGAGAATATCAATAAAATGACAGCAAGAATGGGGTGAGGGGTTGGATTTCAGAAAGATCACAGAGGTGGAAATGATAGAACTTGGCAGCTGTTTGGATGTGAGAGCACAAGGAGTAGAAGTAGTCTAAGAGGTTCCAGCCTTATGCGCGGGAAGAGGTTGCTTTGCTGAACAGAAATAGGACATTAGGAGGAGGATCAGGCTTTCAGAGAAACAATGAATTAAGGTTTGAGAATATTTAATTTGAAGTGTTGGTAGAACAAAACATGTTTAATTTAGATGTTAAGCAGACACATGGAAATACATAAACCTCAAAGAGGATATATGACTTATGAGAATGGATGGAATTACGACGGAAGGAGCGAAGAGGATAGGAGAAGAAAAACGAGAAAGGAACAAAAATTAGAGGAAACAGGTGTCAGGAAGTATAATGAGACCCTGGAGAGTAGGGTATAGTTGGAAACCACAGAGGAGGTTTCCCAAAGGGGTGATTGTAGAAGAAACTGAGAGGTGCTTTTTGTTAAACTGACTCCCTTCTCTTTAGTAATAGAATCTAGTATCCCCAAATGGGCTCTATTTCCCTGCCTCCTTTAAAGGTAGAGGTGCTTATTGACATAGTTTGGGCCAATGAAATATAAGCATATATTTTGTGCATTACTTCCAGGAAGTCTCCTTGAAAGGGAGGGGGCATACTTTTATTTTCCCTTCCTGCTGCCTATAATGGCTGGAACGCTAGCAGATAGTTTTGGACCTGGGTGATCTAAGGAATTGAAGCCACAGATAAAGATGTGGGGCAGCATGATAGAACATTCTGGTTTCCTGTCATCAAGGAGCCACCACACCACACCTGAAAGACTACCTCTAGTGGTTCTTTTTCAGATGCATAAAAAAATGCAGTCAAGCTCAAATAAGAACTGAGAAAAACAAATCATTGAATGTGGGAGTAGAACATAGTTGGGGGCATTTCCCTCATAATGGACATGAAAACAGGTTCTAGAGTTAAACTGATTAGCTTTAAATTAAGCTCCATCATTCATTAATTATGTGATATCGGACAAGAAATTTAATACCTCTAAGCCTCAGCATGTTAATAGAGATGTTAATATAATCTACCTCATGGGCTATGTGAGAAATGATTTAGATTATTCATGTAAAAGTGCTTCACACACAAGTAGCACATAATAGGTGTTCAGTAAATATAAATTAAAAATCAGGTGGTTACTGATAATATTTTAAACACATTCATGAAATTTGGTGATTTTACAGTCATATTAATTGTGCAGTTTAGAGAAACACAAATTTATATTAAACAAAATACTGAATGTAAAATATACTTTATAAGCTTCAAATAATTATGTAAAAATAATTTTTACCATTTTAACTTGAATGCATATCACTTTACAACATGACATCTAATACCACTGAAAAGGTATATTTAGTTGATTTTGATATGTGCCAAATGATTTATCACCATTACTTTATTTTTATTTCTACAAAAAGCACAATGGAAATCCAGGAAGTTGTAATGGAATTAATTTCAAAAACAATTCAGTTTTATAATATTTGTAAGGTACATAAATGCTATTTAAGATACAATCCCCACCCCTCATGCTATTTTCCAGATATGATCTGTAGTTATCTACTTAATAATCAGTGTTATAAAGAAAAATTGGTGACTATGGAGTTCTTCACTTCAGCTAACATATTCAGTAAAGAATCAATTTGACGTATTCAAGCTTCATTTTAAAGTTTATACTAGTGAGAGCTAGAAGGAGAAATGGATAGAACCCAAATTTTGTAGTCAAATGCTCATAAATCTCAGTTCAAACATCTCTTATTAATACCATGGAAATGGTCATATAGTATAACCACATTAAAACTAGTATTAAACATTAACATAAAAACTATTTTTCAGGAATGGAGAAGTGTTAAATCAAATTTTTTATTTTGTGTTCACATGTGCTTACAATTCTGTTGTCAATATGTTTGTTCTTTCTTTCTTTTTTAGCTGAGCTATCCTGCCACCTATTGGCAGCTCAGCGGCAGCTCAGCTCGGGCAGGAATCGAACCGGCAACCCTGTTGCTCAGAGCTCGCACTCTTGAGTGAGCTCTTAACCAACTGAACCATTCGGCCGGCTCGTTTGTTATTTTTTTAGGGGCACACTCGTTCTAAACTATTTAAGAAATATTTACTATGAGATGTGGTGAATATTCAATATTATCATAATAAAAAAAGATTTGCTGTTCTCATTGAAAAAATATTGTCCAACTCTGAAATACTGTGTACCATTTGATTACTGAACCATAAGAGGAAAATAATAGCTGGGAAAGGTGGAGAGAACAGCCACAGTGATAAAAGAAATAGAGGAAGGATATTTACAATAAAAAGCTTTTTAAAGAAAGACTTTTTGTTAAGAATGCAAAATTCTGAGAGACCAAGTATAACAAAATTTGAAGAGTGTAGAGTTTTACCTCAGTGTTGTGATATTCATATAGGATCTGGCCACAAGGCTCAGAAATCCTAGAGCCCTGCCATTGATACGCTGCCTCTCTGTGAGATCCTTGAGGAAAGAACATGCATTTGAGGAGGCAGACATGATAAACACTGTATTCCTAGGTACAAAGGTCTTAGGGTCACAGACTCCCCTTTAGAGATCCATGAATGAACTAGTATAGACCCCTAGAATTCCTTTTGTCTAAGTTAGATTAGGCTCACTGGTCAAAAGTCAAATCAGACAGATAGCAGATAAACCCTACTTTATCACTTTCATTTCTAACTTCAAACCTAAATCGATCCCAGTTAAGAGTAATCTAGGCTGTTGCAGAAATGAAGAGCCAGGAGGAGGATGTGCGAGTCTGTACCAGTGCCTACAGAAAAGATGGCCTAGATCTAAATTTGCTTTTCTGGGTTTATGTTTTCGTTTGGGTTTAAGGGCCAGTGATATCCTTGAGGAATGTCCAATAGGAGGCTAATTTAAAAGTACCAGTGGATCATCCTCTAAAGCATCTAGATTTTTCTCCTTTTACCTTTGTAACTCTTTTCTTCATACTATATCATACAGTCAACAGCAAATGTATTCTAGATCTCAACAGGAATCTACAGCTGCTTGGGAAAATACAGCTTAAATAACTTTGAGAGAACTACGAAGGTTTCTGCAAGAATTGGAGAATTGAAGTCAGTGTGAAAGGATCACTGATCAATATCTAGTTTCTTAGTAGGGAGATGAGGTTTCCAAAGTACCGCAATATTTCTTTTCTCATCATTTTATACATTTCTCTTGTCACCTCTTGTTATGGATTACACATGTCTCTTCCTCCATTAGATACAGAACACCTGAGGACGGGGGACTTTCTTGCACCTTTGTATCCCCATCACCTAGCAGGGTACTGAACCTATAGTATATGCCAGTAAGTGTTTTTTAAATGAATAATTATTCAGCTAGCTACTGAGTAGGGGAAAAAACATATTACAGATATATTCTTGAGAAGCATACCGGGGGTGCCAAAAAAATGCATACACATTTTAAGAGATGTTAATACTTTGGTCAATGTTGCTCAAGCAGTAGTTCACTATAATCAGAAGTGTCTGGACACTGAACGGTAACCACTTTGAGAACCTCTTGTAATTGCAGAAGTCAAACGTGACTTGTATTCATCTTTTCTTATTGGTATATATTAATACAGTTTTTTCCTTTCTTAAAATGTATATACATTTTTTTTGGCACCCTCTGTATATATAGTCTTATATGGAGAGCATTAAACATATAGGGAACAATTAAGCCACAATTAATGACCCACAGAACTGAGTATCAAATCATGTTCCAGACGCTATAGAATCTAGAGTAATAAATACCATAAAAATTTGTAGTAGGGACACATTTAAGTACTGTAGCTCATTTGGGGCAAGGCATGGTGAAGGTGGAATTTGTTTAAATCCTTAAAAGGATGATTAGAATCTGCTTAAGGTTCTTGCCGAAAAAACAGCCTGAGAAAACCCTTAAGTAGATTCTGGCAGACTCTTTAAGACCTTTGCAGAAGCCAGGTTCCTTTTGCCTAAGGTTAAGAGATTCATTGGTTCAGTGGGATGGACTGGGCTTTATAAACCATTAATAGAGAATCAATGCTGCTGTATAGCCTGGCATCTAACAACAGAAGCAGCTTTCATTTACCTGCACTTGCATTGCTTCTTTGGTGAGCTTCTCCTCTCCTTCCCTCGTTCCCAGTTTCTCTTCACTAGCACATCCTGGGTTTCGTTTAGCACAGTTTGGATTATCTGTGGGATAGTCAGAGGTGCTTTTCCTCTATGCGAGTGTAGCTGTAGTAGGAGTGGGGTGGGGTGAGCAGGCGCAACCCAGGCTCTGCTTCGCGCGAAGGTTTTGCTTTTCTTGCAGTTTTTGCTAGTCTCTTCCCAGTCGCCCTAATTCATTCAGTGCAGTGAAATTAGCCCAACCCCTTCAACGCGTTTGCTTCAGCTTTCTGAGGAGTCCAGGACCTATGGCAGTCAGCGCAGCTTGGAGCGCACAGGGCAGAGCAAGAGGGAGCGCTCACGGCTCCGGGCGCATGCTCCGAGGGCTCGGAGCGGGTGGGGTGGGGGTGACGAGCGCTCCTGGCTCTGTCCCGGAAACTTCCGTGGCATAGAGAAATGGGCGGGGTCAGGGCCGGAAGCACTGGGGCGGGCGCCAATTCTTTAATCTGTGGATGGAGAGCCACGGCTCTCCGCTGGTGAACAAATGATGTGTGTGGGACGTCTTGTCTCAGGTCGCGCTCTCTTCCACTTTACCCCAGGGCTCTAAATCGGCCTGGAGTCAATCTGACACCCATAAGTAGGTGGGGAGACAGCCCCTAAATTCTGCCCGCGCCTCCACAGACTGTTACAGCTTCCTTTTGCTCCACACCTCCTCTAGCCACGGTGTTTTTATTCCTTTTCAGCCGTCCCCCCACCTGCCCCCGCCCCCCCTGCCGTTATGTATGATCGGGCTCCCCGCCTGCTCAGATTGGCTGAAGGGGGCAGTACTGAGGATCACGTGGGTCCTGGATCCTACCAGGTACCTTTCCTGAAGCAGCAGGCAACAGGTAAGAAGTGTAATGAAAGGCAAGCCCCCTGTGACAGGCACCTCACTTTCATCCTGCGCAGCTTCCGTGTGCCTGTAGGTTAAACATAATAGTACCACCTCATCAGTACAACGAAACATGGACTAGGCGGGGAAAATACTCTTCTTATTTTACAGGTGGTAACTGGTAAAACCATTTGTCCCCTATCACAAGATCAGAAAGCATATGACTAGGATTTATGATTCTACCATGGTTGTCTACATCACACTTTCAATTGTACAGATTAGATCTAAGACTTTGATTTCCTGGCTCTGTTGACTATGAGTCTCTGAATCCTGTGTACTTCTTACTGCCTACTGTGTCTTCATTGTAATCCTGGCTGCCTCACACAGCTTTCCTACCATAAGCCAGAGACCATTTATTTATTAAAATGCAACTTTTATTTTTCTATTTTGCAATATCATTTAAAGATAATGCCATGTATTTTTTTCAGATAGATGCCTGTTATGCGACCAAACCCATGTTCTCGTTGAACATGAGTGCCCCTTTATCCCACATTCTGTAAAGGAAAGCTGTACTCTTGAGAGGTGGACTAGAAATCGATAATTTAAATAATTATTTGTTCTCATCTGTTTGCAGTTAACGACTTAGGGGAAATTGAATAAATACTTCAATTTGCTTTCTGCTTGTCCTAATCTGATGATTTTATGGAGTTTAATATCATTCAAATTAGTTTTTCCCTTGTTAACTTGCATTTTCTCTATTCCTATGCTATGTCTATATTTTTAGACAAATGTAAGGATTCATTACTCTTGACCTGACTGATCAGATTAGGGTATTAGGTTGATTTAGGCTTCTATGGGTGGAGTACAAATTTGTCATTTGTTATCATTTTAATCTTGAATTTTATGGCTTTTCAGCATCTGACATCAATATCAGTACTCTTGGAGCTTATTATGTCTGTCTTTAATGTAGCTGAGTTGTTATAAGCATTAACTACCTAATTTATTAGCTGCCAATGACCACCCAAATGCTTACACTTATACTTTTAAATCCTTATTTTATTGTAGCACAACTGACCACCCTCGTTTTAGAAATATTGCTTCCCCTCTTATCTGTAACATAATTTTTTCCTGGTTCTTTTTCCAACTATTGTCTTGGGACAATGCCTGATATATGGTTAGGACCAAATAAACACTTGTTAAATGCTGAATCAGGGAATCATTCCTCGCCCTCCCCCCCAACCCAACCCTTCATAGTCTTTAAAAGTTTTAATTTTTCCAGACACTTTTAAATGTTTATATAACGTGCTTTCCATTCTTTGCTTGTTGCTTTTTTCATGTATACTTTCTCATTTAAATCTATAGCTTTAACTACTGTCCATATTCTGATTCTCAAGACCCCCAGAAGAAAGTCTTTAGAGATATAGGTAATTTATATCTCTAAGGTGAGCTTTCTCCTTATCTTAAGTCCTCCAAATTATCAATTACTTTTTTTAGACATCTTCACCTCTGGCATCTGAAATTCCAAGTGTCTGAACCCATCATTTAACCCACTGTTACTGGCGCCTTTGAAAAAATTCCCTATCAGTCAATTATAAACTTTAAGCTTTGGAATTATTCTAGACTCCTTCCCTGATTGACCACTCCTATTGATCTTTAAGACCTATTGATTCTACCTTCTCATTACCTCTCTCACATTAGTTCCTTTCTTCATTTAACTGCCTTTGTCTTAGTTCAGTCCTCATTATTTCTATTCTGAAATAAATCAATAAAATGTTACTGGTTTCTCTCTATTTCAGTCTCCAATCCAACTTCTATCTTATGGCTAATGTGATCTTTCTAAGATATAATTGTTATTTGTTAAAAAAAATTCCCTTTGGGACTTGCTGAGTGGCGCATTGGTTAGTAGTTGGCTTGGGATGCCAGCTCTGAGCAGCAGGGCCCTGGTTCAGATCCCATATGAGGGTCAGTGACGCTGCGCCCTCTACAGCTAAGATGGTGAACAACAAAACAGCTTGACCTGGAGCTGGGCTGCCCTGAATCACGTGGCGATGGCGTAGGCTGCAGTGGGGTTGGCCAGCAGTTGGCGTGAGCTGCCATGAGCTGCCGTAGGCCGCACAGTGGCCGGTAACTGACTGCCTCACCTGGGAAGAGTGCAATGATAATACCAACATGGGCCAGTACGGTGACGTCCTCCACAACTAGACTGAAGAACAAAAGGACAGCAACTTGTCTGTTCCCCTTCCCCAATTCCACAATAAAATCTTAAAAAGAAAAAAATTCCCTTTAACACTAAGGTTAAAATCTGAACTTGACATAGTGCATAAGATTCTTCATTATCTGATCCCTGACGTGGTCTCCTGCTTTACGTGATCCTTCCAGGCAGTCACATCACCACAAAGACTTAACCTGTATATTAGTAATTCCAACTTTGCATTTTTTATAAGTTCATGCTTAACCAACTCCAGGCCTCTGTACCTGCTGATACCTTTGTTCAGTATGCTCTCTCTTCCTTCCTCACCTGGCTAATTCCTACTTATTCTTCAAGACTCAGGTAAAGTGAAGTTGTTCTCTGACTGTGTTCTTTCTCAGGTCTTTCTCTTGATTCCTTAATGACTCTTTCATAGCACTTTGATACTGTATTGTAATTATTTGTTAACTCACCTGGCTGCCCCACTAAAATGTATTTCTTGAGGGCAATAACCAGGAACTTTACACAATTATTCTCAGTTTTTAGCTCAATACCATAACAGATAAGTGCTTAATTAAAAAACAACAAGCCCGGTAATTCTTGAAATAAAGTTTAAAAAATTTCATGAGCCACACATAGCAGAATAAAAACTCTTACAACATGACTTGTGTGAACTCCGCTTAGAGGACAGTAAATAGGATGTTGCAAGGCCCTTCTTTTACTGTTTTATAGAACTGTCCCTTGTTGTATGAAGGAAAATAGGAAATTCCATGCATGAGAGCTTTGAGCAGCTACATCCTATAGATCCCTGTTTTTAGCAATACTCAGTGATAACATGCAGATAATTGATAGAAGACACAGGTGTCTCTAGTCATTTCCCTACTGCATTCCCTGGCAAGTTAGTTTAAAAGTAGCTGTTATTTCTTTGCTAGGTATATTCTGCCTTATCTCTCTTTAACATTAGTAACACACTAGACTATGCAGAGGTATACACAGTTATTTCAATTAAAGGTCAGGTAGATCTTACAGAGAATGATGTAGGAAGAGCAGATGTTGGGACTTTGTATAACTTAATTGTTACCTTGAATTACACAAGAGGAGAGAATTTTAGTGTCTTAGATCTTCAAAAGAAAGAAGCAAATACTCTTTATTCCCAGCCTTTCCTTTTCCTAATTACCACTCCTCTCTCACTATGACGTACCTGGTCAATCCTGCATTGTATTGTCTTCACATTTTCCTCAGGAAATTCTTTCCACCCTAATTTCAAACTTCATTGCCTTGGCTTTGGCCATTTGATCAGGGAGACTCTTTTCTTCCCAGGATTTGCAGCCTGAAAGGGACAGGACTGAGCTGCTGTGGTTTCATGGGTGGGGGAGGTAATGGATATTCTAATTCCAGATTAGTGAGAGTTGTTGCTAATATTCTCACAATTATCTGAGAAGCCAGTATATCTTATCTCATCAAAGCAAGTTTTCCCCAGAGTCGACAGCCTGGTAAAATATGATAAAAACATAATCCTTTTAATAATATGACTGCTCTTGGCATTATTGGGCTCAGGCGTATTTCATTGGTTTTTGAGCTTGATTTACATAATACGTGGCACCCCACATTAGCTGTATATTAGTTATCTTGGTTCTATATTAGTTATCTAAGCTCAGTGACACCAGCTCCTTTCCTATATTCTTTCCTAGGTTTCTATATTTCCTATATTCTTTCTATAATATTTCTATAATATTCTATAATATTCTATAATATTATAGAATATTTCTTTCTATAATATTCTATAATATTCTATAATATTTCCTATATTCTTTCCTAGGTTTCTTCTTTGATAGGAGAGCAGTTAGCTTTATCTGTCACAGAAGCATGAGCTTTTTTGGGTCTTGTACTCATCCCTATGTGCTTATGCCAAAAATAATGATTTTATCTTATTAGCCAATCAGAACTTAGGGAGATCACCTCAGGAAATGCAGTCTATCTTTATTTAAGTTTAAATAATGTATATGATTGTTCTGTATGTTGATGTTCCTGACGATGAGTACATGTTTTAAAGATCTAGCTTTTATGTGAAGAATGCTCTTTACTTTGCTTTATGGCTATGAAACTTATCTTTTAATCATATGCTGCCCACCCTTCTTTCTCAGAATGGACTTTTATTGCTTTACCCCAGTTTGATTTATCTCCTGCTGTTGGCCCCTCAAACTCAATATATCCCAAACTGAATTTATTTCTTCTTAAATCTTTTCCTCTTCTGTAGTCTTAGTTTATTTGTACCTGACAGTTTATCATTTGTAGTTGGCACTTTACATGTCAATATATTTGTATGTCCCAAATAGAGCTTTTTATCTTATACTCCATCAACTCTAATTCCCCAGAATCCTCTTCTCCTATATTTTATGCCTTAATTATTAGCAGCACTGCTTGTAGTGTAATTATTTGTGTATTTGTCTGGCTTCCCCACTATTCAAGGCCAGGCTTTTAGCTTATTTATTATTGTACCTTCACTGCCTTTCACAGACACATAATAGAGCATTTGATATTATTGAATGAATGACTAAAGATGTAGTTTAGAATATCATCTACTAATTTTATATCTATTGTTTGATATGCATGGCAGTATGATAGGGTGACCAACCATCCTGGTTTATCTAGGAATGTCCTTGTTTTAGCACTAAAAGCCCTGTTTCCTAGGACTACTAGGACAGGGTGTCACACAAACTGTAAATATTAGGTATACAGCTATGACTAAAACAGAGAAGTCATTTCTCTCATGGAGCTTATCACTATAAATATTTAATTTTCTTGTGGTTTTACTTGAGCTCAATATTTCATATAAACTTTTAACCTATTCATGAAAGATTCCATATAGTTAATTTTGGAAAGCTTCAGTGAAGATTTTAAGAGTACTGGCTTTCTGAATACATGTAGCTATTGTGTAGGGTTTTTTTGTTTTGTTTTGTTTTTATATAAATTTCAGTATTTTGCAATTAATTTTACATTTGTTTAGGTAGATTTAGTTAGAAGCTCTGCCAGGTTCTGATGACAGCAGCCTCAAAACTAGCCTGAGTTTAGCTTTCTCCATTCTCATATTGCATACTACCTCAGTGTCTGTATGAACTTAAATTAAATATATATATATATATATATATATATATATATATATATACACACACACACACACACACACACACACACCTTTAATTGTGTGACATGAAATACACAGAAAATTGCATAAAATATAAATTTATGACTTAAGAAGTAAAGAAATGACTCAAGTCAAGAAATATAGCATTGCCAAATCTTCCTTTTCAGTCATAACCCTTTCCCTTTCCTGTATAGGTAAGCACTATTTTGATTTTTATGCCAATTATTTCCTTGCTTTTCTTTGTGGATTATTAAATCCTCTTGATGAAATGACCCCTTTATAGTAATGAAATGTCTCTCTTATCTCTGGTATTCCTTGTTCTAAAATCTTCTTTGTCTGATTTTTATATGGTCACAGCAGCTTTCTTTGATTCATGGATGCATGGTATATCTTTTTCATCCTTTTATTTTTAGCCTCTGTGTCTTTATGTTTTAAGAGGGTTTCCTGCTGAGAGCATAAACTTGCTTTTTTATCCAATCTGACAATCTCTGCCTTTTAATTGGGGTTTTTAGAACTTTTCCATTTAATTTAATTATCAATATTGTGTTTACATGTACTCTCTTGCTATTTGTTTTCTATTTATCTTGTCTGTCCTTTGTTTCTCTTTTCTTCTTTCCCTACCTTTCTTGAATGAGTTGAGACAGCCTACATAGAAATAATTTACATTTGCTATTGCCTAAAAATAATAGATGCTATTCCAAAATATAAAACAGTGGTCTTCTGATGATGAAAATATGACTATTTTATCAGCTAAATACTATAATTGCCATTTTCTTCTTAACCAAATATGCTTAGAAGAAAAATAACTTTTATTTTGTTTTTTATTTTCTTTAGGTGTTTTTTCTGTGGTTTAGTAAGTCCAGTTCTATAGGTTCTTATATTTAATATATTAATATAAATTCCATTCTTATATCAGAATTTTAAAACTTCTATGACTAGCCATTATTTCTGATAGTATAGTCTCAACAATTGAGGTTACTAAATGATTTTATATATTTTGAGTGCTTTTCCTTTGAAATCATTGGAATCTTATCTGCCAGTGATATGATTTTACTTTTATAGGTGGCTATGCACCATTCCTTTCTTCGGCTGTCAGAGAAATTACTTTTACTGTTGCCTGTAACACTGAGAAAGCTGTTCCAGGTCCAGGATACTATAATGTTTCAGATGCACAGGTAAATTTATTATAATTGTCTAAGCTAATAAAAGTCATGCTTTCTTCCTTTAATAGACTTTCATATCCATTTTCATATTTTATTTTCCCTTCACATTATCTTTATCCTTTCAATCTATATTTTGTAATTAGAATAAGAGAAAATAAATGTGTTCAATGTTGGTTGCCTTGTTGGGTATTTTTCATTATTCTACATATTCTGTAAGGCATAAAATATTGTTACATGCTTCATGGTCCTTGAGGCTCTTGAATGGGAGAATAGTGCTATTGAATGAATTATGGCTCATGAAAATTGTGAGCTGGTCAAGATATATAGAAGAGGGATGGAAATGAGTGAAGGTGTTAGTTTGTGTGCCATACTCTATAGTTAGAGCTATTGCTATTGATCTGTGTGTCTCCTAATTCTGTACAGCATCAGGAATCTATCATCAGAATATCTTAGATGGTCCATTCATGTTCAGAACAGTGGATATAACTCCAATATCTTCATAATCATGACTGTCACCTTCTACCCTGTCCACACAAAATTTGCATTCATACATAGTGACTCCTAGCTGACCCTACCAGACCTTTATTTCCCCTGTTGGAGGCCCAGATGCAGTCATTGAAACCTTAGACTTCCTGACTGAATAATAGCAACCATTCTGTCGGGCTTGGTTACAAGCAATAAGATAGACTTCTAAAAAAGATACTATAGGGCAGCCAGATGGTTCAGTTGGTTAGAGCGTGTGCTCTTAACAACAAAGTTGCTGGTTCAACTCCCACAAGGGATGGTGGG